CAAATCAATTTATAACATTTTTGACATGCGTTTTTTCTGGATTTTTTGTTGTTATTCTGTCTCTCACTGTTCAAATAAACCTACCATTAAAATTATAGACTGATCATGTCTTTGTCAGTGTGCAAAGCAGCAGGGGATCAAATACTTTTTTCACTCACTGTATGCGTTTATTTGTGAAATAATAATAATTTAGATATGCCTTTATGAGCATGTCCTCAGGTAGTGTAACTTTTCTAATATAGATTTCTGCATTATTTTTAAAACATGACCTATGTGTAGGACACTGACACTACGTAGCATCAACAAAGGCAGAGCGAGATGGTGCGTTCACGACAACTGGGAACTCGGAAAAAATTCGAGGTCCAATAATTTTTTTAAATATTTTTTTATTTTTTTTATTGCAACTATAATACCAATATTACAAATCAATACAGGGACATTCCTGTGAATACAATGACAAAATAAAATAATAAAACATCAGGTGAAACCCCCAGAGTAGGAGCTCTATAAAGAGGTTTAGTCTCCCGAGTGGCGCAGTGGTCTAAGGCACTGCATCGCAGTGCTAGCTGTGCCACTAGAGATCCTGGTTTGAATCCAGGTAGCCGGCCGCGACCGGGAGACCCATGGGGCGGTGCGCAATTGGCCCAGGGTAAGGGAGGGAATGGCTGGCAGGGATGTAGCTCAGTTGATAGAGCATGGCGTTTGCAACACCAGGGTTGTGGGTTCGATTCCCACAGGGGGTATGAAAAAAATAAAATAATGTATGCGCTTACTAACTGTAAGTCGCTCTGGATAAGAGCGTCTGCTAAAATGTAAATGTTTAGTCTTGACGTTAAAGATGTTTTACTTTTGTTTCATGATAAGGATTTAGATCATAACAATATATATATAATGAATCTCTTCATTATGTATGGTCAATATTATATACCTAAATTCAAATGGGCAAAAGAAAATACAAAATTCTTAATTTTTTTAATTGAACTTGAATTTTATTTGAAAATGCTTAGAATCTGAAAAACTGTAAAGCAAAACGAACCCTAATTGCCTGTGAAGCCTTGTGTATTTTTGTTTAAATAAGTATACCCCTGTGTATAAAACTTCTGTGTTATTTGGTCGATTTTTTTGGTAAAATATGTTTATATATTGTGTTATAATTGTTGTTAATTAAAAACATAAAAAATTAAAAATACATTTAAAAAAGCGGCAGAAAGAGGCCCGAGTTCCCGAGTTGAAATTGCAAGTTAGATTTTTCCCAGTCAGAGCAATGTTTTTCACCAAATTCCTAGTTGACCGCACTTAAATCGGAAGTCGGAGATTTTCGAGTTCCCAGTTGTTTTGAACAAGGCAAGAGAGAGATTGCGTGCCTTGCGTAGATTTAATTTGTGCGTGGTGCGTACATGGGCGGGGGCAGCAAAACTGAGACTGAATTGATGCAAAATGGTCTGCAATTGGTCGAAGCGTTGTGGTACCCATGAGAAAGACCGTATCGCACAGCAGCATCGCCGTAAGAATGGTCCGAAAATCGGCTGACAAACCTGGAACATGGCCCAGCGGAGGATATAGGATATAATATTCTTAGAACATCAAAACATGACAAATGCCATAAGCATTTTGACGGTTAATCTATAACAGGCTATGATTCAAAGGCAGGTGACACTGACCCAGGTACGTTTAAATAAATGTAGGCCTATTTGTCCAGCTGTCAGTAAGATAGTCATGGAAAAATGTAAACGTCCCCGTGTCCGAATCGATCTCTAGTTCAGATTGATGCATGTAATCATGAGTTCTATACGCTAGAAAATAATACAGTTGACGCCTCATATTTGTTCTCAAACAAAGACATTTCTAGCCTTTTTTCGTCTATTGTGATTGTTCTACTGATGCTGCATGCTATGTCATTGGATGCAGTAGAGTACGGCCTCTATATTGATGACCAGCCACAAAAATTCGCCCCTGTAGCCTGGTTGGCCATGGAAGGTCTCGCAATGTTCTTTGATAGTTTTATTAGGAAGTGTGTATCGATTTCGACATTCGGAGGTAGGTAAATCCTTTTGGGATGCTCGACCATAGGATGGGAAGGGACCTCTGCCAATACTGCACGCAAATTGGCTTACTCTTGTTGGTTACATTGTTAGAGAGAGAGAGAGAGAGAGAGAGAGAGAGAGAGAGAGAGAGAGAGAGAGAGAGAGAGAGAGAGAGAGAGAGTTTTTGTGTGTGTCTGAATTTAAAATATAACACTACAAAGGATGGAGCAGAGAGAGGTGAGATAAGGAGGAAGGCAATATTTGTAGTTTACTAGTACTACTATAGTACTATACTATATTACTACTGCTATCATAGTACTACTATACCATAGTAGGCCACCTAGAACACACAGGCTGTTCCAGACAATTCAACACTGCACAAGGAGATAGAGACTCTTTTCATCAAAAGATGCAGTCAGTGCTCACAAGCAGCAGTAATCCTGACGGTTAGCAGAGAGATTGGTCAGATTACTATGTATTCACCTGTGACACTCAAAGACTCAAACTACCATGTAGAAGGAGGACATGCTGTCTATTGATCCATGTTAAAATCACCACTGTGGAGGAGATAGCTTGTTCAAACTGAAAGCTCTCTGAATACAGGAAATCTCCCTGCCTCATAAAAGTTGGAGCAGGATTCTATTTCCCTGCCTGCCAACTGTCTGCAGCCATTATTCTCATGGTTTAAATTTGGAATGGATTTGATGGCCTGATAGATCATCCCTGACACTTCTTAGTGGCTGGCATATATTAGACCTACTTTGGTTTTAGCAAGACAAACTGCCATGTATTTGAGGGAGAATTAATGTATTTGATACACCTTACTGAGCACATTTAATCAAAATGTATACATTTTCTTCCTCAAATCGTTGGGCATGCTGAGTGTGGATGAGATACAGAGGAGAGCACTTTTACAAAATCCTCAAAAATTCACCTTCCTGCTGCAGCCCTGCTTGGTTTAGCCTGGTGGGAGCTAAATGAGCAGAAGGGAGGATAATGTTGAGCCACCACTCAGTAAATAGTAAAAATAAAATGCATTGAGTGAGTCATCAGCCAGGAGCCCCAGTGCAGAGGTGCATGAGGAGGACTAAACACTGCTCCTTTGACTGGAAGGATATCTATGATGTTGCTGCTAATCCAGTTCAGCAAAGAAGAAACTCAGTATCTAGACGCAACAGAATGCTATCTATTGTCCTAGCTGCTTTCCCATGGTTGCGCACTGCATGCTATGATCAGCTACTTGGTTTGTTTAGCATCACGCTGCTGATTCACTGTAGTGTTATCTTTTGATAATAAAAAATGTGATGCTGTGATGATAACGCACCAGATCCTCTTCTTCAGATTAGTCTCACTGAGTAAATCCAATGAGATTAAAATCATGAGCTTTATGTGGAGGTAGGTAGCCTACAGAATGGGATTAACTACAGTGTGGCATATTCATGCATCATGCTGGCAACAGTCCAACCTTGCAAGAAAAGAGGCATCTTTTATTTTTGCTGCAAGACTGCTCCACAAAACGTTTCATATTTCACTCTACCTTTTACTGTACCTTAATCACAACTGTCCTTCATTTTACTAGTGTACTGATATTGTTGTAATGAATTGGCAGCCTTTAAAAGGTGAGAAGGATGGTATTATTGAGCACTTTTGGTCTACTCAATTATACTGTCTGCATCCCTGCATTTATTAATCGGTTAGGCGCTCCTGTGAGGGAAGAACTATGCAGGCCTACTGTATTATGTAAGTGCACTAAGATGTCTTCAGTTGCTGCACAGTCTAGATACTACTTGGATGCTGATTAGCAATGAGCCAAGTTATCTCATATGGCTCCTAAAATGAGTTAAGTAATAGTCCTACTCAGAGAGAAACATAAACGAATGCACTGTCGTTTTTTTCTCTGACTGGTGTTTTAATATGAAGCCTTTGAACACACAGTAGTATTAGCCTGAACTTTTCCTCTAACTCCTCTTTTGATTTAGCTTAGTCACCATTTCAGTATTTTATCTACTCAACTATTCTATCTACTCAATTATTCTACTTAACCTGCACACACAGCAGAGGATGCCAAGTGAAATTGTCACATTCTTCCCTGCTCTTCTCATTCTCTTCTTGCTAATGTCTTATACAGTGTGTGTTGTATATGGTGGCATACCATACATACTGTACACAGGTTGTATGGAGGCAGGCAGAAGACAAGTGACCTTGTTGCTGAAGAACAGTGGCAGAGTTGTTGAAGAGGATGTTTGGCATCTGGATGCACTTCCACACTAGAGGGCCAGAGAGTGGCTCTAATAAGACAGGCCATTGACGGGTCATTGTGCTGGTGGATTGTTCTACGAGGAGAGTGGGGGTCTTGTCTATTGTGTTGGCCTGCTGCCCAGGCAGACTGACTGACTGACTGACAGAGAGAGAGAGACATTAATCTTCTATCACTGAGCCAGCTGTGACTGTGTGTGTGTGTATGCGTGCGTGCATGTGCGTGTGTTTAAGAGAGAAAGCGAGAGAGAGATTTAATTGAATTGCGAGAACGAGAGAGAGGCAGCACACTCAATCACCTTTGAACAGTCCATTTCACACCCTGAGCAGGACAGGGCCCTGGAGTGTTCCTCACTGTTAGCACTGTGCTGCATTGTTGTCTCTCCTCCCACCGAGAAGCTACTACAAGATAGTGGAGAAACCTCCCAAAGCTCATGGGATTTCCTGCTGCTAATCTTCCCACTGTCGCTCCACTTTCTCTGCAGGACTGTACAAATCGCTACCTCTAAGTCTGCCCAGAGATAACCAACAGAATAACACATCTGCAGTGTTCTTAAAGATGGAGATAAAGGTTTTGATTGGACTTTATCTACTGTATCTCAAAAACACATGATAGGAATGCTAAATGTGGTGCCTCCTTAACTTCTCTCCCTCCAGTACAAGCTCTTCATCCTCCCCATTCACAGTTTCTCTTCTCTGCTTTTCTTCCCTCTCCTCCAGAACTTGTACCAGAACAGGTTTCTCGTACTCAGACTTGCAGCCATGGCCTCCCCGTCTCATTCGTCCCAGAACCGCCGGCGCTGTAAGGACCCGATCCGCCACAGCTACAATCCCGAACAATTCCGCAACGTCAACTTCCAGAATGGGGTGCCGGAGGACGTGGCGGCCATGCACCGCTCGACCAGCGACACAGACCTGGTGACATCACACAGCCGATCCACGCTTACCGTCAGCACCTCGCTCTACGCCATTGGACAGACCCAGGACATCCTCATCTGCTGGGACATCAAGGAGGAGGTGGACGCTGGGGACTGGATCGGCATGTACCTCATTGGTGAGCACTACCATAACGTTTAGGATAACATTTTTACTATTTAATTTTGCCATTGATTTTCATAGAAGGGACCAAAGTAATAATTAGTAGATGATAGAGGCAGATAGAGAAGGTGAGATATAGAACAGTTTATTTCCAATCTTGTGAAGCTGTTACACATCGGGTAGATCAAGGACAGGAACAAGATTGTGTTATTTCAAGTCTATTTGAAAGGTACTGTATGTAGAGTACATGGAGAGCTATGTGATGATTCAGGTCAAGTCTGCTCTCCCTTAAATTTTAAGGTAATCTAAAGGTGTTGTAGTTTTCTGATAAGGTGCTCAGACTCATATCCACAGGTAACTGACAATGCTTGTGTGATAATGTAGTGTGACTTTGGGCTCGATTCAATCCATACCGCCGAAGTTCAGGGCTATAGCGCGCTTGAAATTTTAAAGAAGATTTTCAGATTGAGCCGACATATGCAGCGTTTACTATGAATGCAGTCTCTGCGAATGCGGGAACAATGCCTTTAAACTTAAATCGTGCTATAGTGCTGAACTTCAGCGATACTGATTGAATCGAGCCTTAAGTCTCACACCTTTCCTCTCTCTCTTTCCTCTCTCTCAGAAGAGGTGTCGTCTGAGAACTTTCTAGACTACAAGAGCCGCGGAGTGAATGGTTCCCACAAGGGCCAGATAGTGTGGAAGATTGAGGGCAACTCCTATTTTGTGGAGCGTGAGTGCATTTCTGGAAATACATCCAAAATCACCTACATTATAGTATGCTACTTCTCCCACACACTGAGAGAGCTGTTTTATAACGGATGTAGCATCTAGTGCTCAGAACAGGACACTGCTTTGTCAGTGCATATTGTACAGTTGAAGTCAGAAGTTTACATACACTTAGGTTAGAGTCATTAAAACTTGTTTTTCAACCACTCCACAAATTTCTTGTTAACAAGCTATAGTTTTGGCAAGTCGGTTAGGACATCTACTTTGTGCATGACACAAGTAATTTTTCCAACAATTGTTTACAGACAGATTATTTCACTTATAATTCACTGTATCACAATTCCAGTGGGTCAGAAGTTTACATACACTAAGTTGACTGTGCCTTTAAACAGCTTGGAAAATTCCAGAAAATGATGTCATGGCTTTAGAAGCTTCTGATATGCTAATTTACATCATTTGAGTCAATTGGAGGAGTACCTTTGGATGTATTTCAAGGCCTACCTTCAAACTCAGTGCCTCTTTGCTTGACATCATGGGAAAATCAAAAGAAATCAGCCAAGACCTCAGAAAAAATGTTAGACCTCCAAAAGTCTGGTTCATCCTTGGCAGCAATTTCCAAATGCCTGAAGGTACCACATTCATCTGTACAAACAATGGTACGCAAGTATAAACACCATGGGACCACGCAGCCGTGATACCACTCAGGAAGGAGACGCGTTCTGTCTCCTAGAGATGAACATACTTACATGTTAGTCATTTAGCAGATGCTCTTATCCAGAGCAACCTACAGTTAGTGAGTGCATACATTATTATTTTTTATTTTTCATATTGGCCCCCCATGGGAATTGAACACACTACATCCCTGCCGGCCATTCCCTCCCCTACCCTGGATGACGCTGGGCCAATTGTGCGCCGCCCCATGGGTCTCCCGGTCGCGGCCGGCTATGACAGAGCCTGGATTCAAACCAGGATCTCTAGTGACACAGCTAGCACTGCGATGCAGTGCCTTAGACCACTGCGCCACTTTCACACTTAGGTGCAAAAAGTGCAAATCAATCCCAGAACAACAGCAAAGGACCTTGTGAAGATGCTGGAGGAAACAGGTACAAAAGTATCTATATCCACAGTAAAACAACGACATAACCTGAAAGGCAGCTCAGCAAGGAAGAAGCCACTGCTCCAAAACCGCCATAAAAAAGCCAGACTACGGTTTGCAACTGCACATGGGGACATAGATTGTATTTTTTGGAGAAATGTCCTCTGGTCTGATTAAACAAAAATAGAACTGTTTGGCCATAATGACAATCGTTATGTTTGGAGGAAAAAGGGGAACGCTTGCAAGCCGAAGAACACCATCCCAACCGTGGGGTGGCAGCATCATGCTGTGGGGGTGCTTTGCTGCAGGAGGGACTGGTGCACTTCACAAAATAGATGGCATCATGAGGAAGGAAAATTATGTGGATATATTGAAGCGACATCTCAAGACATCAGTCAGGAAGTTAAAGCTTGGTCGCAAATGGGTCTTCCAAATGGACAATGACCCCAAGCATACTTCCAAAGTTGTGGCAAAATGGCTTAAGGACAACAAAGTCAAGGTATTGGAATGGCCATCACAAAGCCCTGACCTCAATCCTATAGAAGATTTGTGGGCAGAACTGAAAAAGCGTGTGCGAGCAAGGAGGCCTACAAACCTGACTCAGTTACACCAGCTCTGTCAGGAGGAATAGGTCAAAATTCACCCAATATATTATGGGAAGCTTGTGGAAGGCTACCCGAAACGTTTGACCCAAGTTAAACAATTTAAAGGCAATGCTACCAAATACTAATTGAGTGTATGTAAACTTCTGACCCACTGGGAATGTGATGAAATAAATAAAAGGTTAAATAAATCATTCTCTCTACTATTATTCTGACATTTCACATTCTTAAAATAAAGTGGTGATCCTAACTGACCTAAGACAGGGAATACTTACTAGGATTAAATGTCAGGAATTGTGAAAAACTGAGTTTAAATGTATTTGGCTAAGGTGTATGTAAACTTCCAGTTTCAACTGTGTATCTTTACATAACACTGAAACAATCTCATATCCATTTTGTTTCTCATAACAGTTGTGCCCATAAATTTTTGTGTCAATGCAAATCTTTCTTGACAATGCATATCTTTAGACTTCCGTACTGTAAGTATCAGGATTTCCCAGTACAAATCACAAATCCTTCTTACATTTACATTTACATTTTAGTCATTTAGCAGACGCTCTTATCCAGAGCGACTTACAGTTAGTGAATACATATTTTTATTTTTATTTTTTATACTGGCCCCCCGTGGGAAATGAACCCACGCCATGCTCTATCAACTGAGCTACATCCCTGCCGGCCATTCCCTCCCCTACCCTGGACGACGCTGGGCCAATTGTGCGCCGCCCATGAGTCTCCCGGTCGCGGCCGGCTGCGACAGAGCCTGGATTCGAACCAGGATCTCTAGTGGCACAGTTAGCACTGCGATGCAGTGCCTTAGACCACTGCGCCACTCACTCTTACCCTGCACTGATTAAAGCAAGTCTATTAGGCAAGAGATTCCCAGAAATAAAATCATTTACACAGCCAAATGATCCCATTAGTTCTACTAGACTAGAGAACCCACACTGACTGTACAGTACAGTAGGCCCTGGTGAGGACAGCTCTGCTTAGACACAAGGGAAGTGGAACTATGAGTAACTAACTACCATAGTGCTATCTTCTTCACATCTGGTCCTGCTAATGTAATGCTTTGTCAGCTGTGAGTGATTTTGTTATTTAGCTAGCAATGCTTATTTTTTATTTACCTACAGTAAGACTCGTGCCTCAAAGAGGTCCTCCCACCTCATTAGTACGGACAGCTCATTCGCTAGAATCAGTTATCAATCAATATTTTCTCCAATACCGCTAGCTGGTGCCTGGTGCCTCCCTATAGGACAGTCCGTGGTGTTTATTCCAAAGCATCTCTATTTAGCTACCACAGTAGATTAGCAGCTTGGATAGAAGCCACTGAGATTCTTATCACTCTGTGTAATGAAAGTGATAGTATTATCTGTCTACTCCTAATAACCCTGCAGCTGAGGACAGTCTGCTCTCTTTCTCCCCCAGTTTATTGGCATGCTGCTCAGAATAGCTTTCTAAAGGCGTCAGCATGCTTCAGTTTGGCTGGCGGCTAGCTGAAGTCAGCTAGGCAAACCGAACGAGTGTGCTCGCATACTCCCTTAAAAGACCTTCCCTTGAAAAACTCGCCAATAGTACTGTTTGTCCATTTTGAGACGCCATAGACAGTATAAACTTATTCAAAATAGTCAGAATTAACCTAAGATAACTCAAGAAACCTATCACTAATTTTGATGTTTTTGCCGAGGAGATCTTAGTCGCGCAATTTTACATCTAACTAAAATGTGTGGTGCAGTATTTCTCAATGAAATGTTTTACAAGAAAACGAGTTGTCTCTCATTGAATGACAACAAATACTTTATTGAAGAATCCTTGTTGACCAATCACTGACAAAAGGGAGTATACTTCGGCTACCGACTTCGGCTTGCCTCCAGAAAGGTTTGTGTGCCCGAACAGCCGAAAAAACCCTCACCGAAGTCCAAAACTAACAAAAACGCCACAAAATGTCGTCATAATATATGCACAAACTGTTTCGGCTGGGAAGCATGCGGACGCCTTTAGGCCATGCTGGTGTGGCTCTCGCCTGTTTTTGTAAGCTGTCCATCTGTGAATAAAGGTGCCAATAAACTGAGAAATCATGTATAAAATAAACAGTAGGTCATGCTATAAAGATAGGACAATCTCTCTTCTGTTCTTAATTTCTGTTCTCGCTCTTCTGTCCTCTGTCCTCTGTACTCTGTCCTCTCTCTTCTGTCATCTGTCTCTTCTTTCCTCTCAGCGGAGACTAAGATCTGTTTTAAATACTACCATGGTGTGAGCGGGGCCCTGCGAGCCACTACCCCCAGTTTGACAGTGAAGAACCCCTCAGTTCCGGTGAGTGTGTGGGACGACTACTTTGTCCAAACCTGGTAGTGCTACATGAGCTCTATGTGTTCATTAGCGCTCCTCTAGGGGCACTGATGATCAGAGATAGTGTGTGAATTATGGATCTACTGTATGTCTTTCCATCTGAAGCATACAGTGAGGGAAAAAAGTATTTGATCCCCTGCTGATTTTGTACGTTTGCCCACTAACAAAGACATGATCAGTCTATCATTTTAATGGTAGGTTTATTTGAACAGTGAGAGACAGAATAACAACAAAAAAATCCAGAAAAACGCATGTCAAAAATGTTATAAATTGATTTGCATTTTAATGAGGGAAATAAGTATTTGACCCCTCTGCGAAATATGACTTAGTACTTGGTGGCAAAACTCTTGTTGGCAATCACAGAGGTCAGACGTTTCTTGTAGTTGGCCACCAGGTTTGCACACATCTCAGGAGGGATTTTGTCCCACTCCTCTTTGCAGATCTTCTCCAAGTCATTAAGGTTTCGAGCCTGACGTTTGGCAACTCGAACCTTCAGCTCCCTCCACAGATTTTCTATGGGATTAAGGTCTGGAGACCTTAATGTGCTCCTTCTTGAGCCACTCCTTTGTTGCCTTGGCTGTGTGTTTTGGGTCATTGTCATGCTGGAATACCCATCCACGACCCATTTTCAATGCCCTGGCTGAGGGAAAGAGGTTCTCACCCAAGATTTGACGGTAGATGGCCCCGTCCATCGTCCCTTTGATGCGGTGAAGTTGTCCTGTCCCCTTAGCAGAAAAACACCCCCAAAGCATAATGTTTCCACCTCCATGTTTGACGTGGGGATGGTGTTCTTGGGGTCATAGGCAGCATTCCTCCTCCTCCTAACACGGCGAGTTGAGTTGATGCCAAAGAGCTCGATTTTGGTCTCATCTGACCACAACACTTTCACCCAGTTCTCCTCTGAATCATTCAGATGTTCATTGGCAAACTTCAGACGGGCCCTGTATATGTGCTTTCTTGAGCAGGGGGACCTTGTGGGCGCTGCAGGATTTCAGTCCTTCACGGCGTAGTGTGTTACCAATTGTTTTCTTGGTGACTATGGTCCCAGCTGCCTTGAGATCATTGACAAGATCCTCCCGTGTAGTTCTGGACTGATTCCTCACGGTTCTCATGATCATTGCAACTCCACGAGGTGAGATCTTTTGTGTTTCTTCCATTTGCGAATAATCACACCAACTGTTGTCTCCTTCTCACCAAGCTGCTTGGCGATGGTGTTGTAGCCCATTCCACCCTTGTGTAGGTCTACAATCTTGTCCCTGACATCCGTGGAGAGCTCTTTGGTCTTGGCCATGGTGGAGAGTTTGGAATCTGATTGATTGATTGCTTCTGTGGACAGGTGTCTTTTATACAGGTAACAAACTGAGATTAGGAGCACTCCCTTAAAGATATTTTTTTGTTGTTATTCTGTCACTCACTGTTCAAATAAACCTACCATTAATATTATAGACTGATCATTTCTTTGTCAGTGGGCAAACGTACACAATCAGCAGGGGATCAAATACTTTTTTCCCTCACTGTATATCTTTGCATTGACTGGGTTTGAGCTTATTACTAGAGCCCAAAAAACTCCTGACAGTTCCAGAAAGGGATCAGCAATCCCTCTGGTGTCTCATCTATTGTCCAGTTCTGTCCATTATAACTGCCTGGATTACTGGGGGTTATCAGACGCGATTTAAAGTACCAATATATTAGGTTTAGATATCCATATATTATATTGGTTACCCTTCCTTTCTCATTGACTGGAGAAGAAAACAATGGTGCTAAGTGTCATTTATTACACGCTTATTGGCTGGATGTGTCACGACTTCCGCCGAGGCTGCCTCCCCTCCTAGTTCGGGCAGGTTTTGGCGTTCGGCATCACCAGCTTACTAGCTACTGCCGATCCATTTATCATCACTCCATTTGTCTTTTCTTCAATCACACACACCTGGTCCTTATTCCCTCATTAGTCATTGTATAAGTGTTCCCTCTGCTTCCTTGTCTGTGTGGGTGATTGTTTATTGTGGAGGTTAGTGAAGCTCGGTGGAGCTCGTGTATTTTGTATCGACGGGAGACTTTCCTGTGTGCCTTGTATTTTCCAGTGCGCCTGTTTTGTGCCCTGGAGTGTGTTTGACGCAGTTCTGCGTAAACCTGTATTTTGCGGATTAAAGCCTGTTATTCTGTGATTTACCCTCCTGCGCCTGACTCCTTCAACACCACCTCGTCACAGGATGACATTTGTCTGTCGGAGGAAAAGATAACATCTGCAAATCAGTGTATGCAACCCAAACATTTTGATTTGATTTGGAGGGACAGACAGAGAGAGAGAGAGGGGGGGGAGAGAAATGGAGAGAGAGCGACAGATGGAAACAGAGACCGCAAGTTCTGAGAGAGAAATCACGCACAGACGGACAGCACGTACAGTCTGAAAGATAGACAAAAGAAGAGATAAGCCACAGCCAGAGAAAACCAGCCATGTCGCCGACACCGACGTCTTGCTTCCAGACAAGCTAAACACCTTCTTCGCCCACTTTGAGGATAACACAGTGCCACTGACGAGGCCCACTACCAAGGACTGTGGCCTCTCCTTCTCCATGGCCGATGTGATTAAGACATTTAAGCATGTTAACCCCCGCAAGGCTGTCGGCCCAGACGGCATCCCTAGCCGCGTCCTCAGAGCATGCGCAGACCAGCTGGCAGTGTGGTGAAGAAGGCGCAACAGAGCCTCTTCAAACTCAGGAGGCTGAAGAAATTCGGCTTAGCACCTAAAACCCTCACAAACCTTTACAGATGCACAATTGAGAACATCCTGTCGGGCTGTATCACCGCCTGGTACGGTAACTGCACTGCCCACAACCGCAGGGCTCTCCATAGGGTGGTGCGGTCTGCCGAACGCATTACCGGGGGCAAACTACCCGCCTTCCAAGACACATACAACACCCGATGTCACAGGAAGGCCAAAAAGATCATCAAGGACACCAACCACCCGAGCCACTGCCTGTTCACCCCACTATCATCCAGAAGGCGAGGTCAATACAGGTGAATCAAAGCTGGGACCGAGAGAATGAAAAACAGCTTCTATCTCAAGGCCATCAGACTGTTAAATAGCCATCACTAGCACATTAGAGGCTGCTGCTGCCTATTGAAATCACTGGCCACTTTAAGAAATGGATCACTAGTCACTTTAATAATGTTTACATATCTTGCACTACTCATCTCATATGTATATACTGCATTCTATTCTATAATATTCTACTGTATCTTAGTCCATGCTGCTCTGTCATTGCTTGTCCATATATGTATATATTCTTAAATCCCATTCCTTACTAGTTTTGTGTGTATTGGGTATATGTTGTGAAATTGTTAGATATTACTGCACTGTCGGAGCTAGAAGCACAAGCATTTTGCTACACCCGCTATAACATCTGCTAAACACGTTTGTTGTCCTTGTGCTGGCCCTGTTGTGGAGTAAACTGTAGTACAGGTCCCCTGTGGGCACTTAAGGTTACTATAAGCTCCACTCCTTTGTTCTACGTGCGTGCATGCATGTGGGTGGAGTGGGATCTTTGGAGTAGGGGACACCTTTTGGTAACATGATATCCTCGCAGGTCCCATTCCCATATACAAGGGGGCGATAGCAATGTTTTAATTTTTGTGTTTTAATTTAGTAAACAACAAGGAAGAGTCACCTTCCCTTGCTAGTAGTAGCCAGCCTGGCTAAAAAGCAAGCTAGCTTCCCACATCTCAATGTGAAACAATCAGATTTATAATTAAATAATATGCCCTGGCAAATATTCTAATACTTGCCAGTATAACCTAAAACATTATACCAGTTTGATATGCTGCTTGTGTCACATGGCTAGCTAGTTGGCTACAGCAGGTTCTACCATTTCGCAATATCCTGTAATCACTAGTTATTACTTCTAAACAAAATACCTTTTTGGGTGGATTTTTGTTTGTTTGTTTGTTTTCTCATTTGTGGTGAAAGCAAAATAAGACTATCTTGTCTTTAGCCTCCCGAGTGGCGCAGTGGTCTAAGGCACTAGAGATCCTGGTTCGAATCCAGGCTCTGTCGTAGCTGGCCACGACCGGGAGACCCATGGGGCGATGCACAATTGGCCCAGCGTCGTCCAGGGTAGGGGAGGGAATGGCCAGCAGGGATGTAGCTCAGTTGGTGGAGCATGGTGTTTGCAACGCCAGGGTTGTGGGTTCGATTCCCACAGGGGGCCAGTATGAAAAATAAAAAAATAATGCGTGCACTCACTAACTGTAAGTTGCTCTGGATAAGAGCGTCTGCTAAATGACTAAAATGTAAATGTCTTCCCTTGCTAGCAAGTTGGCTAGCATTTTAACTTCCCACATCTCCATCTGAAATAATCAGATTTATAATTATATAATATGCCCTGGTAAATATTCTTATACTTGCGAGTGTAACCTACAACATTATCCTAATTTGATATGCTGCTTCAATGTATTCACTCCCATATCAGCTAAAAATAGAATGTCATAATTTTTGGTCACAGAGAAAAGCCCCCACATAGATATCTGTTTTAGCCTAGAATAACTTTATCACTTCTAAATAAAATAAAATAAAATGGGGGGGATTCTATAAGGCTACAATGTTGTTCAGTTTATTGATTGAACGGTCACAGAGATTACATTTGGTTATCATTGCAAAATAGGCTACTTTGATGAATAGCCTATATATAGCCTATAGATCAGCAACAGCACTGCCACCACGGCAGCGGAAGCAATGATACGCTGAGTCTCAATCTCCAGGTAGAAGAAAACTGCGTCAAATGCCGGAGTGTATTACAAGGAGCCGCCTCTTTTGTGACGAAAAACGTAATTGCAACACTGCGCTACACTCCGTCAGCCCCCTCTACGTATTCTCTGTAGATGCCTTTAAGTCCCAGCTGTCTGCTGTAGGCCCCCACAGCCTACACACCACCACACTGCTATGATCACTGGTCCACCTAGAGAGG